CAATTGATTTGTTGCGGCACAACCATCATCAAGAACTGGCAGCTGCAAAAATGGAGCTAGAGAGAAGCATGGACGTCAGCAGGAGGCAGGTGAGCATGTTCTGGTCTTTGATCAGGTAAATGAGACTGAAGGATCATAATTTTCTGAAAATTCTTAATCTTTAATCTCTTATTTTCACTATTATTCACTATGTAGTGAAGAGTTTGATGTCTCAAGGGGCATAACTAATTCTACTTTATTATACTGGTCATAACATTTCTTGATCCTTGAAAATTTTCTTGCATCTTGGGAAAGTGAATGATGAAGCATAATTAATATGAAGGTTAAGGATAGCGTGACCCAACAGAGCTCTCCGTGACTTTGCCCCTCCCGTGTCTGGGCTTCTACTGTGGTAGTTAGCAGATACAACTACTAGTGCACCCATGAAAGCACACTTTCAATTTTGTTTAATTTTAATTGATTTAAATGAGTTAAACCACAATATTGGAAGACACAGCTATAGAAGGAGTATGTCCTCAAGAAGAAAAAAGATAATTTTACTGCAAGACCATGCTGTTCTCTAATCTCTGCTGTCCATTAATTATAAATCATTTTAGGACACATCAGCTCTTTGGCACTATAAAATGAGGGAGATCTGCTTTTGTGATTTTTTTTTTGGGTTCCTCGTGGGCTCTCTTTCCCCACATTACTGAAACTATAGCCATGTAAATACTCCTCTGAGTTGTGGGGAAAAAAAGAGGCCTTGAATTTTTTTCATTTGAGCAGTTTGTCTTTAAAGCAGGTTAGAATGATTACATTTGACATTCAAGTATTTCATTTTCTTTCCCTTAGATTAACATAGAAAGCAAAAATGTGGAAAACTTTGAAGAATTATTTCTATTTTCCAGAGTAAGGAGCATATGTGTAGAATAACGGATCTGCAAGAGGAATTAAGGCACAGAGAACATCACATCTCTGACTTGGATAAGGAAGTACAGCACCTTCGTGAGAACATAAGTGCCCTAACCAAAGAACTGGAATTCAAGGGGAAAGAAATTCTCAGAATACGAAGTGAATCGAACCAGCAGATGAGGTATGCCAATACTTACAATGGAAGGAATATACAGTGCTATCTGAAAGACTGTTGCGATGAGGCTTAGGACACTGTGCCTATTTTTGCTTTTGTAGCTAAACTGCCTTTCCAGTAAGATGTTGAAGACCACTTTTTACTGTATTTGATGACTGTGTTACAATCCAGAACATAGATGAAAAGTTTGTATTTTGGATGATGTATATATGTTCATTAACTGAAAATGGTACATAATTAGTAAAAATCTCCTTTTTTTGGCAGTATTGTGGTTTGAATTCAGGACATCATGCTTGCTAGGCAGTCACTCTACCATTTGAGCCATGCCACCTACCTTTTTTTGCTTTAGCTATTTTTTGTATAGGGTCTTATGTTTTTTGATTTGGACTTATACTGTGACTTATACTGTGATTCTTACCTGTATCTCCTGTGTACCTGAGGTTAGAGGCAAACACCACCCAGTTTATTGGTATCACTAACTTTTTATCCTGGTTGGCTTCAAACCATGATCTTCCTGATTTCTGCCTTCTAAGTAGCTAGGATTATAGGTACATGCCACCATGCGTGGCCCCTAAAATCTTTTAAAAATGTTAGAAAAAGCATTAAAGGAGACAACTTTAATACAGACTAGAAGATTATAGCAAAGTAAGTAGCTTAACTTAGGCTATTTACATGAATTTTCAATATATTATACCAAAAACAGCATTTCAAATCTAGTAAAATATAGAAAGTTGTGAAAGCATGACTTCAGAATAACATTTTCTTAACTAAACATAAATTAAACAGGTTGCATGAACAAGATTTAAACAAGAGACTTGAAAAAGAGCTGGATGTCATGACAGCAGACCACCTCAGAGAGAAAAATATCATGCGAGCAGATTTTAATAAGACTAATGAGCTACTCAAGGAAATAAATGCAGCTTTACAAGTGTCGTAAGTCATATTGCGCTCAAGAAAATTCATATGTGGATAACAAACCGAAGAGCACTATGTCTAAGCTCAAATTAACTGCTGTTTTGAGTCTAATAAAAATGATAATTAAAAGAGAAAGCTTAAGTGCTGTATTACAGATGGTAATTGCAGTGAAGTGTTCACCAGCAGTTGAGTGATTATGCTTCATCAGCTACCGCTGTCACAGTCTACCAGTAAAGATGATGCATTAATGCCATGTGACCACTCAAAATATGTCCATTAGATAATGCTAAGTAAAAACCGTAGTATGAAGGACAGAAATATTATTATTCTCTGCATGCAGTAATAACATATATTTTACAAAAAATCAGTATCCTAAAAATTAACATAAACTTTTAATGATAATAGTTCTCTTTAAGAGGTGAATCAGGAGGTATTGAATGTTGTAAAGAACAAAGACTTTATTTTACTCTATTTAGGTATTGCTTGAATTCCTGTAAGTATTCAATTGTTTTATGTTTTAAAAAATATATACTGGAATATCATTACAAATAAAGTTATATTCATACCTAGTAACTCCAATATTGTTAAAATAAAATTTTTCTATTTTTTACTTACTGTTCTTAAAAAATTATTAACCTTTCTCTTTCCTGGATATTTATTTACTGTTAGAGCCAAACAGCTTATATTCAGCCCATCTCTGTGACCTCAACCCTAGTCCAATTTAGTTAATTTTAGAATTAATCTCCTCTTAGGCTTCTACTAATGGTTTATTTCACCTTTAGTCTCTCATATGCCAATAATTATCCACGCACTTTAATAAAGTTACAATTAGTGTCTAATCCCATTACTCTGAGTGTTAAAGACAGACTCTTAACTTCAGTGGGCCTTGTTCTGCATCCTACATTAGTAATGTCTAATTACCTTCCCCAAACACAGAATTCATCTTTCCTGGTTCTTCCATGTAATTCAGTGTCGTAAATGTTGCTACATAAAGAATGTCAGTGCAGGGGAGTGGGGGAGAGAGGGGAGAGAGTGGGACGCTGTGGGGAGAGATGACCCAAACAATGTATACACGTATGAATAAATATATACATATAAAAAAGAATGTCAGTGCACGCACAAGCACACACACCCATTCAGAATCTCCACATTAGTGGATACTCAATGAACATGTCACAGGTTAATTTTATTGAGAATTCCCACTCATACTTAATCACTTTGTGAAGTTACCCTTAAAACAGTGAAAACTGTGACTCATTTCTCAGTCACAGTGATTTTGATGTTTACTGTTGTTAGTCATACTTTATAAATTCTGTGAGCTCGGATATCTGCCTTGTAGAAGAGCTTATGACCTCATATTTTTGCAGAAATGAGATAAAATCAAACTCAGTGCTTTGGCTCTTGCCTCTCCTAGCCACAGTATTCATTGAGCAGAGCCATCTTCCTTTTCATAAAAAGAACATGTTCACACAAAGAACAACCTGTCTGTCTGTGTGTCCTGTCTCCTTAGAAATGTTAATTTATAAAAAGTAAAGGTTGTGTCTACTTTTGATTCTTTTTTTGCAGTTTCATACATTATGAATTTTCAACAGAAAACAGTAATTTAGTTTTTCTATATTATTATATTTTAGTAATTGAAGAATTAGTATTACTGATAAGTAAAATATTTTATTTGCTTTTCTAGAGCTGGCATTCATTTTACACTTCAGCTTAGGTCCATGCTAACCAACAATTTTAAAGTATTGCAGAAATGGTGATAAGTATATTCTCTTAGAAAATGAGTATTAGAAATCCTTTTCTCTTGATTTGGTGGGGGGGTTGGCAGAAATCTACTGCTACCATATAATTTTCCTTTAGCTGTAGCCATTTACTGTCTTAGTTAAGAACAAGTATACATGCGAGTTTATTTTCAACTGATACTATCCAGTAGATTTTCTGAGATAGTGAGAACACTTTGCATCTACTCTACCCAGCATAGTGCCTGCTGGCACACATGGCTAATGAGTACTTGAACTACATGTGTCTAGTACAATTAAGGAAGAAGAATTTTAAAATTCCATTTTACTTCAATTCATATAGCCTCATACACCAGTGGCTATCATATTAGAAAGCAACATTGATTATTTCTGTCCTCATGTTTAAGTGAAGCCTGCTCTGATCTGATGAATGTTTGGGCTTTAGACAGAGCTGGGAAGTGGGGAGTGTCCTTTCCACTTGTGGCATGGGGTAGGGAGAGGACGAGAATGTCTGAGCCATCCCAGCCTTTTCCACAGGACTAGGATATCCTATTAAAGTTTCTAGCCAACTGTACCTTAGCTTCACAAATCAGAGCTCTGTGGATTCTTAGAGAGTAGTGGCTCAAAGTGCGAGTCCAGCATATGGAACAGAAGAAACCCTGGTGCAGCCTTAAACCTCTTGGCGCTCCTGCTGCCGCAACTCCTGTTGGGCTTCACGGAAAGCGGGGCAACAAGTTTATAGTATTGTAGAAACAGTGATAAGGATTCTGTACCTGTTTTGAAGTGAGTGTTAGAAATCCTCTTCTCTAGATCTGGGTAATAATATCCTTAGGTTTTCAGAGTTTTACAGATTCCCTTAGGGTTATATCCTAGTATTATATCCTAGTAAGAACCTTGAATCTAGTAAAAAAACAAAAAAACAGTCATAGTTTTTGATTGTTTCCAAAGTGCTTCTTTATCTTACTTAGGACGGGATTCTGCATTCTGGCTTCTTGTTATTTTTTACCTGTGGAGATCTTCATTTTCTTTCTACGATCTTCAGCCCAGACACACATTTTTAACGCATTAGCCTTTTTTACAGACTTTGGCTTTCCCCCTCATTCAGTGTAACATGAGTGTGGATTCAGCTGGTTCTGAAGCATCTGACTGTTCACCAGTGCCTGTGGCTTATGGGCCTGAAGAAAATTGTTCATCCTTACAAATGCCGTCTGCTGAGATGTTCCACACAGACACTGCCTCTCCTCTTCCTTATGCCATGGACCTGCGTACTCAGGACAGTCCTGATTCTTCTATGAGACCAAAAGCAAGACCACAAATTCTGGTTCTGGAGAGAGCACAGTGAAGAAGGAAGACACTAAAGCCCAGGTCAAGAAGCAGAAGATGCAAACTGTGTAGACACAGCCGTGTGTGCTCAATGACAGGCATTAGAAACAGAAGTACCTCAGCCTGCAGCAGGTGCAAGAACTTTCTGGCATTCTAAACCTTACCTACAAACAGGTTAAGACCAGGTTCCAAAAACAGAGAATGAAATCTAAGACAAGGCAGAAGAGTAAGTCAAAGTAGATCAAAGAATGGCAATAGTGTAACTCAGAAGGGCTTGGTGCCTACAGACTTAACCTGCTATAGACAAGATGTCTCTGGTCACTGGTAACTAGATGTAATACACGTTTGGGTATTTTTTTTTTTTTTTTGTGGTACTGAAGTTCAAAACTCAGGACCTCACACTTGCTAGGCAGGCACTGTACCATTTGAGCCACTCTGCCAGCCCTTTTCTGTGTTGGATATATTTTTTTTTTAATGGTACTGGGATCAAACCCAGGGCCTCATGCATGTTAGGCAAATAGTAACCTCTGAGATACATCCCCAACTGGGTATGTTCAAGATAGGATCTCAAAAACTATTTGCCCAGGCTGGCTTAAAACCTCGATCCTCCTAATCTCTGCCTCTAGAATAGCTAGGATTATAGGTGTGAGCCACCAGCACCTGACAAGTTTGGATATCTTTAAGATATAGAATCTGACCTCAAGTGTAGGAAGTAAAACGTGCAAAGATGTGTGAAAGATTATTCCTATTGTTGGAATCTAGTTTAAGCATAAACAATAAAATACTGGTTTTACATTTAAAGAAAGAAAACAAATGAGGAAAAAGGCTATTCAGTTTCGTCTAAATGATATGTTCTGTAAGTAAAGAAAATTTAAGCTAAATGAAAAAATTCTCAGAATATCATGACAGAACCTTATTATATAAAAACCAGAGATCATTATTGTTTAGGTGTACTTCACATGAACTTCCCAGTGTACTGAAACAAAAATATTTTTTCATGAGAGAAGTATTGATTCTGTACTTAGACTTTAAATAGGTCAGTAATCTCTACCTAAAAAAAAAAAAGCACTCCACCACACCAGAATCACTTATTCTTTAAAATTAAGTTTCAACTTCAGTGGTTTTGTTGTTATTGTTGCTTGATTTTAATTTTTCATCAAGTTTATTTCCATAAACTTTGCGAGAGTTGAGGAAGTAGTAGTTGTGTCACAAGTCAGATCTGGGCTCAGAATTATGGAAAAAGAAAAGTTCAACATTAAAATGTTTCAATCTTACATTTCCTTTACTTAAAACTGTAGAGAAGGATAATGTAACAGAGTTCTTTCATCTTTATAAAATTTAAGTTATTGATAAACAATAATACATGTGTACCTAATAATATAGTTGTTTGACTTTAAAGTCTCAATTCAATGATTGTCGGTTACTTTTTTATAAAACAACGTAAGAGAAACTATAACTTGAAAAACATTTTGTACCGTGTTGGACAGTTTTTAAAGCATTCATATTTTAGGCCTGTATTACTCATGAACTGTAGACATCGACCTATATGTTCTCAGGGCCAAAAAATTAAATCAGGGCATGCATGCCTGATGAGAGCCCAACAGTGACTCTAATTAGTTGTTTTATCTGTTCTGCTTCTCCTTTCTTTTCAGGCTTTGTATTTTCATAGGAATCTGCATTTTTAATAAAAGCGTGCATGTATTTATGTGGTCCCCTTTACAAAGTGTTCCTGAGGCTTTAATAATTCTTATATAACCTTTGGGGATTTGGTCATTTCTGGCTCCTTTTAATATTCTTAATTTTTTAATTGACTCATTTTAACTTAAAAATTTAATAGGAAAACCTGATACTACATAACTACAGTAAAACCATTATCACTATTAAAAATTGTATGCCTTACTCTAAATAGAAGCTAAGCTATATTTGTGTAAATGTAAATTGTGTACAAATAAAATTGGATTTCAGCTAACTTTGATGCTCACAGTCTGCCTGAGTATTATGAAATAGGGTAAAAAGCCTATGCTATGAAGGCCATTTAAGAAAATAGAACCAGATATACTCCTTGTCATCCAAAAGATTAGGCAAAAGCAAACTTTGAATCATCTACTGATGACCAGTCATTCATACTTGGTCTTGACAAGCAGGACCGACAAAGAGAATACTTGGGCAACTGAAAACAGGGAAGACGTTGACTAGTGTTGGCTTGAAATGGATGTTAGAATACGATCCAGTTTTCTTCCTACTAGAATTTTGAAAGACTAATAATTCTAGTTTGCAAATTAAATCTATAATATGATACTTGTTCTGTCCTTTAATGCTTTCCATGTGTATTTATTATTGTTTCTTACCAGTTAGTTTTCCTCTTTCATATACTGTTATATTTTTTATTAAAGTTTTTGGTGTTGTAAAGATACTTTGTGAAGAGGATTCATGGATAATACTTCTGTACGTAAAGAATGTTTCAGTTAATACACATTAGCACTTGATTTCAATGAAGACCTTTACTATACAACAAAGGAGGTTCTGCGATCGTAACTAATTGTATTAGACTCACTTTTCCTGAGTTTTTAATTGTACAACAACAAAGAGAAATAATACTTTTTAAAAGGCATTAACTCAGCTACTGTTTATACCAGCAATTCTTGTTCAGGTGCAGGAAGCAGCCCCAAAATCTTGTAAAAGGAAGTACTCCAGTGACACCTTGTGGCTGTTCCAGCATAAAAGCCAAATGCCTTTTTTTTTTTTTTTTAACTAGATAGTGTTTGTCAACCTTCTTGAACCTTTGCCCATAAAATACATAAAACTAAGCCCTCCCACATTGTAATAAAATACAAGATAACTTTAATGTGGACTCGGAATTCCATTATTTTTCACATAGTTTGCATTGTCACAGAAGAGCAAAAGGTCGTGAGACTTACATCTTATGAGGCAAACTGAGCCTAATTCCACACTTGACAAGGGGCTAACTAAATATGGTGTTTCTAAATCTTTATCTTGGGCTGAATTTGTGCGGGGCTTTTATGGTTCTAAAATACACAGAGATTCTAGTAGTCCTCTGGGATTTCAGGGTGGGAGGGGAGGTGGATAGTTCACTGATTTCTAAATGATGGATAATCTAAAAGTTACTATTTGTTGAATGAGTAAATTTTTCTATGAATCTTCATTAATCTCAACTTTATTAAGCTTTAGTACTTATATTTATATTCTGAAAACAGTAAAAATTTAATTGTTCTAATAATTTACAATTTCTAAAACGGAGTCTCTTTTTTTTCAAACTAAGCCAATAGTTTCTATTTATTATTTTCACTCTGCTCTGTCCTATACTGTTAGACTCTGTAGGGTCCATGTCACCTCTGCTCATAAAAAGTGCCCTCTATTTTAGTCCTCAGTGGTATTCAGTCCTGTTACCATCTCTTATTATTCAGAGAAGAATAGGCCTACAGAAATGTAATTCTTCTCTAACCTGATGAGCTTTTTATCTGTATTGGCTGATAATAAAGAATTTTTAAACTGTATTTACCATAAACCAGGAAAGAAAAAGATGTCATATATGTGTGTCTTTTGTTCCCCTTTCTTCTGTGCCTTTTCTTATCTCTTTATATATGTTACCAAGCCTTACATCATCACACAATATTGTATTTATAGTAACCACTTCTGATAGTAAGCCAACATTTCTAGCATTAGACCTGGCTTTGTTAGGTTAGTATCACTCAGCGTGTCATTTCTTTTGCAGAGCACACCTCACTTTATTTCCATATAGTCTTGAATACCTAAGATGGTTGAATTCTCCCAAAAGTAACCTGCAAAGAACTTAATATCATCTACCTCTGCAAAGCCTTCAGTATAACACTGCTCTTGAGGCAGTCATGTTATTATAAATTTAAAGTCTTGTTTAAAATTGTGTGTGTGTTTAACTGGACTAAGGAAAATGTAGGTATTTATTACAAAAGAATATTGTCTGAGTCATATCAATGAGCTAAAAGTTTTCTTGTTTTCAGACTAGAAGAGATGGAAGAAAAATATCTCATGAGAGAATCAAAACCAGAAGATATACAGATGATTACAGAATTAAAAGCCATGCTTACAGAAAGAGACCAGGTCATAAAGAAACTAATTGTAAGATATTTTGTTTCTGTATAACCGTGTTAGTAATCAATAGACTATTGGTTGGGAAAAATATTTTTAAATGCTAAATGAAAATGGAAAGTACAAAATATGTGCATTGTGATTGAAAGTTTATTAAAATGTTTATGACTGAGGAAAAATTTAACTTTGGCATTAGGATAAGGGAGTTTTCCTTTTTCTTCAGTATTTTTAAAAAGGAAATGCTCTTTTTTGACACATACTGAATGTTTAATAATATCTCATTGCTACTAAATAGGTAATATGCTACTGAAATGTATACATGTTGCATATATATACAAAATTAGGTCTGGCTAGAAAAGAACCCTTAACACATCCATGCATTAGCCTTCATTGTACACTTCCAATGATAATTTCCTAAAATATGCCACCAAATACTGATTCAAGGAGATACTGTAGAATAAAAATGTTCTGTGGTCTAGCCTCAGAAAAGCTGCGTATTGTCTTAGGTGGTCAGTAATACTGAGGTGTTAAGGGCTCTGAAAAAGAGAGAAAATACAGATTTAACAACAAATACACTGCCTTCATTCAAGTCATTATTCCTTAAGAACAAAAAAATGTATACAAATGTTTCAGAATTCATAAAATATCTTAGTCTTCTAAAATGCTATATCCTGGTCAGTAATTAAAATATTGCTTTTACTGCCACTAATAAATGAAAGCCTTTTCTAATAAAACTAAAAAATAGAACACTGATTATTCTACATGCTTATTGATCTTTTCAATTGAAGATTTTGGATATTAGCATACAAAGAGCATAGAGCAAAATTTATTTCTGAAGCCCTTTTAAAAAAAACAAAATTCTCTTTGAATTTAAGAAATTCAACCTGTTTTTTGAAGCTGGAAGTTCCTTCTGGAAGCAATAGCATCCATAGATGGAACCCAGGAGCAGGTTATGGAGAGATAGTACATTACTATCATCCACTCAATTTTCAAGTTTTGCAGACCTCAGAGGTAGATCTATGTGATACCAATAGACTCATGGAAAATGACTGTCTGTTTCATATATGAAATTAGCAAGCATAAAGTATATTCATCTATGGCCCAAAAATAGCAATTAATTTTCCAGTTCTTACTAGGAGGTTTTACAGATATAATTTTATTTTATCCTCACAACAGGTAGGTATTAGACGTCAAAGAGCAAAGTAACTTGGCAAAGCAACACAGCTAATCAGTGCCAGGGATGTAGCCAAGGGGTGTTCCACACACTTTGCAACACCCTAGATCCCTGGTCTGTGAGGTACGTGGGCCAAGGTTAATGACTTACATAATAGTCAGTGGTAACTAAGAGGAGGATGAAGAGCCTAGTACTACTAGATTCCACTAGAATTTAGTTCTATTAAACATAACCTGCATTCTCACCCATGCTGCTCTATCTGCTTATGGCCTTCCCAGAGTCTGGTGGTTCAGTTAGCACAACTTGTTTTTCATGAAGCCAAAAGCAAAGGTTTTTTCTCTGTATGGGCTATTCATTTTTCCTCTGTTACCATTACTATAATATGGTCATATATCAAAGAAAAGATTAGATGAGATCAAATTCATTTCCAGGTAATAAAGAGTAATAAAATATCATAATGCCACCTTCATTTATGGAAATCAGTCAACTACATACACAACCCCATGAGTAAAAATTAGACCTGTCCAACTCTACGGGAAACCCTGTAAAACACATATGGGACCAAGTAGATCCAGTCTTGGAGGAACTGTGTATTAAAGGGTAGGGGAGAGTCCCTGGGCATAGAGTTTAAAAAGGTGTTGAAAACTTACCCACCAGCAAACTTAAAGACACTGGCAATTGAGTCTAGAAATTTTTGAACAAAATACAGAATCTACAAGTTTTATATTGTGAATGAAATAACACCTATGCACTTAATGTTTGTAAATATTCAATAGAAAGTGTTCAAAAGATGTTTATAATTCTTTTTGCATAGGAGGATAATAAATTTTATCAGCTGGAATTAGTCAATCGAGAAACTAACTTCAACAAAGTGTTTAACACAAGCCCTGCTGTTGGTGTTATTAATCCATTGGCTAAGGTATGTACTGTAGACACCATAAAATAAGAATATACCTAAAAAGTTGATGAAAAATTGGTGAATTGTTTGGTGCAGCATAGAATAAAGCTCCCCAAAAATGTTTTCTTCTTCCTTCTCCCTTTTTTGTCTTTTCTTTTTTTGGTTCTGGGGATCAACCCAGAACTTATGCATGCTAGGAAAGCATTCTAACACTGAGCTATATCTCATTCCAAAAAATGTTTTCTTAAATTTAATAATCTAGCACTAAGATTTATGAGTTTTTTATTCGTTTTCAGAATGAGCTATTCATTTGTTGATAATCTATACTCCTTAAAATGTTTTGTTCTGTTTTTTCATTTTTCATATTTCTAAAGAAAACTAAACTTCTAACACCCCTTAAGTTAATATATTATCATTTCTTACGATCACAATCCTCTATGGGGTCCCAACAACTTAAAGCCTGACATCATCTTATAGAACTTAAGGTGAAGTTCATACTTAATAAACGCTGGTTGCCTAGCAATGTAGCTCTTCTCAACAATTAAAACTAAACATATGGGTTATTCTGATACCATAAAAGCCTTGAAGTGGACATGGCTAAGACTTTATACATCTTTTTACCCTATGGCTCCAATCACAGTGTTTCATGTAGAGTGGGTTTTTAGTAAATACTTGTTCAATTGCAAAATTTTCCCACAAATTATTCTGTGAATAAACTAAATAATGAATAAATAATTGTATGCATCAATTTTACAGGGATTATGAATCTTTTGAGAGAACTCAGTAGTAAAATAAGTAAGTGTTAGTGTTAAAGCTGTTTTTAATTCAATTTTATTAAGTTTCACATCATGCTAAAGGAGGCCCTTACCCAGAAATTTTGTTTTCAAGGCTCATAAAACTTCTCTGTTATGAACACTGAATCTATCCTTCTTTCGTAAGTGCCCCAAACTTTGAACTTGAATGTTTTATAAAAATAGAATGAAGTACAGAAGTATGTAGCTTTATTTTTAGACCTGCCTGACACATAAAAAGCTCTTAGTCAATAATAGGTAAACTAATGAATAGAATTGATTTTGTTTTTAAGTTGATAGAGTGGCATAAGCGTTTACTTATAAAGCAAGATTGTTATGAAACTTGTGGAAACAAGATATTTTAGAAATATTTTCATTTATTTTGTCTAAATTAATTTTTCAGCTACGAACCCTGTGAACTTTTCTAATGAAAAGTTTTTTGAAATAAAAAACTTAGGTAGGTTTAATTATGCCCTCTGGTAATTAGAATAAGAAAATACAAAAGATACAGCTTTGCAAGATTTTCCAGCTACTTTTGACTCCACATTTTCCCAAATGTGTCTTTTTCTGGTGATGCTAAAATAGGCTCCTTGTCAGAGACTCTGTGAATCTTACAGAATGTGACAGAAAAGAAAACGTCTAGATAGTGAAATAATTATTTTATAAATGAAAAAAAAAGTTCTATCTTGGGTATGAACTACATTTTTCAAACCCCATAGTTACTTTGCAAGAAAAAAGTAATAAATTTAGTATACATCTAATTAACAAAATGTGAGAATATGCCAAGTATTTTACAACATGTTAATTTTTGCTCCTCATAACAAGATGATACCCAGTGATTCTAGAAGTAGGAATACAATATTTTGAAAAAATAATAAATCATTAAAGTTAATGATTTGCAATCTGACTTATTTGCTCTTTCTTACTGGTCATTTCAAAGACCGAATAAAAGGTAAAAGAAAAATTGATAAGATTTGTTTTTTAATCTTTACTCTTTTTAAATTATGAGCCAATTAATGATATTGTCAATTAACTGGGAAATTTAGACGTAATTACGCAGATTTAATTTTCTCTGTTAGGATGTCACAGTGAATTTAAAACTAAATTATTTCTTTTTAAGTCATAAGTAAAAATGTGGAATTTGTTTCAAACTACATTGCCAAGCATTTTCTCATTCCCTTTTTTCCAGGCAAGAACTGCCTCCCTTTGACAGATGGCTGAAGTTTATGGACCTCTCTTTTAAGATTACGTTTAACTTTACTTCTTCTCCTAATTTTAGCCTAAATCTACTTAGCCCTTATGGTGTCTGCAATACCTTCTCTTTCCCGCTCCCTAGAGACCCTTCTTTCCCTTCCAGTATTCTCTACCTATTGGTACTCTTCCGTCTTTCCCTAATTTCACAATTAATTGTTCACAGTTAGAAGACAACCGCTCCTGAATGTGTCTTCCTCATTCTTTCTGTCCTGGTAGCATGTTTGCCTTTGAGGATTCCATGTGAAGAAACACTTTCAAGGGTCCCCAGACCACACTTTGGGTAACACTGGTTAATTTTAATATCATAATTTTACACAGAGCTTCCAAAATTTTTCCATTCCAAATTTATACCTTCCACTATTCCTGTTTTCTCATTTGTCCTCATGCAAGGGACTATCCTTACATGTATTATTTTTAATGCAGCAAAAGAAGAAGAATGATAAATCACCTACAAACAGGTTTGTGAGTGTTCCCAATCTAAGTGCTCTGGAATCCAGTGGAGTGGGCAATGGACATCCTAACCGCCTGGACCCCATTCCTAACTCTCCAGTCCACGATATTGAGTTCAGCAGCAGCAAACCACTTCCACAGCCAGTGCCACCCAAAGAGCCCAAGACATTTTTGAGGTGAGCTCCGTCTCACCAATGGCTTGTTTTCTTTTCTTTTTTAACTTGAGAAATTTACCTTCTTCCATTGCATAAACCCACTACTCTAAGAACAACCTAAGAAATACTTTTGTAAATTTTTTTAGAATTTTTACCAGCTTTGTAGAGAACTCCCTTTGACTCTGTTCAAAGATCTTTTTGTCAAATTTCTTATCACCAGTGAACTTTCTAAATGTTGGAACAGGTGTTCATACAATTCATGTGCTTACAATTTTAATATTTATGTACAGTTCACTTCATTTTTAGTATTATTGCCAATTTTTCATTATTAAAGAACTATAAAATAAAGCTTTCAGAACTTTAAAATAATTTTTTATTTATTAAATGGTTTTTATTTCTGTTTTATGTTAGATATATTTTTTCCTTTCTAGTTTTCAGGCTTACTAATATTTATATATATTCATATTTCCAAAATTTAAAAAGTAATATCTGGAAAATTAATGGTATCCTTAAGCAAACAATAAGTTTAGAAAAAATAACTTTCAAAATTCACATTTTAAGTTACCTCAGAGTTCATTAAATGTATTAAGTAAATTTTGAATGAAATGCAATTATTTAGACAGTAGATAATTAAGTCAGAAAGTACTATTGGTTTATGCTTACTTTATTATCACTGATTTTTTTGCTGCTTTATTTTTTCTTAACTTTTACTAAATCTCAGCAATGCCACTAATAAGAGTTTCACAAATCAAGTTTGTTTTTGAAATTAGGTTAAGTGATTTATAACATAATTACTAGTTATTTTAAATAGTAAAAAATAGCAAGAATGAAAACTATTCAAGTACACATTTGCTGTCTCCTGCTAAATATTTGTGTTGCTTATTTCCCTGTGCATGGGTGCGCTCAGGTATCAGTAAGATGCATGTGCATGAGCTCGAGAAACATGGCCACTGGAGTTCCCATCATATTGTCGCGCGCCTTGTAATTTCCCCCAAAAACGGTAGGGATTATTTTGTTTTCTCAAGTAGCCCAAAGAATCTTTAGTTAGAGTTAAGTATAAGTTTTATTACTTGGAAGATAGGAGAAAAACTTGAATTTTTAGTATACTCCTTTTCTTAGAGTATCTGCTTGTGGACTTATTAAAGTTTAATATAAATATACAAATTGTAAAAATTGCTGTATCTTTATTTAGTTACACTTAAGAACATATGCATGAGAATCAAATGCCTCTGTCTGGTTCTGAAATTTTAAGGCTAGAGATCCCAATAGAGAAAACCATTATTTTATTCTCTTATTTCTCACAATTCCTCCATAAATTTTTTATTCAAGCGTGACAGTGACATTATTTTTCTCAATTGCATCTTTTATTTTTCTTTTTGGAACTTGGGTGTGAACTCAGACTTCATGCTTGCTCCTCTACCTCTTGAGCCACCATGCCCAGCCCCCGGGTTGTTTTTTGTTTATTCCTTTGCTTAACAATTGTGATGTGGTTCCTTCTTAGCTGACCTACCAAGCTGCTGGTGGCCTCTCCTGCTATCAGGGAGTGCAGAGCTCATTGTAAAGTAGATAGCCTTTAAACACAGCTTCTGACATGGGGAGTCAGTTGTGATAGTCTACACTGATGTTTTGTGTGCTTTTCCCTTTATTTTGGAAAACCGCTTAATACTGGGTTACGTGTCTTTCTTTTTATGAATTCAGTCCTCCTCAGAGTGAAGCTTTCCCCGTGGCTTCTTCAGATCCCCAGCGCCAGGAGTGGTTCGCCCGGTACTTCACATTCTGAAAGAATTGTGTTGGCACAGCTCTGTGTGGACTGTTATTAGGAGCATGACTATACAGATTTTTAAGTGAACAGGCTTTCCTATGTAAAACACTGTGAATGAGAAAGTATTTGTCTCTCTGATTTGAAAATATGCTGTATTTCCTGTGGTATATATTGGAATCACTCTATAAGGTACTCTATATTATGTGTGTAATTATAACAATTATTTTTATTTGAGTCTTTAATCTTTGTAATTACTGCATAATAAATTTTGTTAGAACAAACAATAATGTTTTTCTTTTCTTCTATTGCATTTGCTTTAATTTTTAAACACTTTTTTCTTGGTAGTATTGGGCTTTGAACTCAAGGCCTTGCACTTTCTAGGCAGGTGCTCTATCACTTGAGCCATGCCCTTTTTATTTTAGTCATTTTTCTGATGGGTTTTCATGAGCCACCTACTCACACCTTGCACAAAGCTGGAATGACAGACATGTGCCATCACACCTAGCCCTTTTAAGTACTTTTAAATTCCAGGTAAGACTTGCCAAAATAAAGTTTCGTTGCATTAATAATCATAGGCTATCAGTTTATTTTAATTCAGTTAATCATAACAAAATCAGGATAGGGAAATTCATTATCATGTGTGATTTTAACTAAATTTTAAACATTTACAAGACTAGAATAAAAGCACTTGTGTAAATTATGAACATCCAAATATATAAATATTGTTGACGTAAAAGTTTTAGTTTTTGTTTTCTGATAGATGAGATCTAGAACTTATAATACAGTTAGCATCTATGATTGATATGCTTTATGGCTAAAAGTTACTATGTAAAGAGAGTTGACTCTATTTTAACTTATCTTAAAAGCTAGTTTGTCAGTTTTCTAAGTAGACAGTTTAGTATTGCTACATGAGTATAGAGTTAACTACCTACTGCTACACTTTAATGAGACCTTTTATTTCTTTAAGCCTTAGTCCCTCTTGATGTAATTTATTGTGACCTGGAAGAATGCATCTGCTTCTACAAATACAAAATTTATTTGTTTCAGTAATGTAGATTTTCTTTTTCTTTGCTTTCCTCTAAGACTGGGTCACTCTGTGTAGACTAGGCTGGCCTCAAACTCTCAATCCTCTTTTTTCAGTCTTACAAGTGCTGGGATTATAGACATGCCTTACTATAGATACCTGGCTAATAAAATATATTTTAGAAGAGTTTGGGTAAGCCAGATAAATGCAAATACAGTACATGATCTGTGAATTGTAATAATGTCAAAAAATAAGTTTTAAAATGGTTAGTATGTATCAAGTCCTAAACTAAGTAGCAGTGTAAGAATTATCTCAATTTAATTCTCACAAAATCCTCAAGGAATAAACCTTTGCATATGAATTTACAGTTGGTAGCTTGTTCTTATTTCTGAAAAAAAAAGTTTCTACAAAATTCTTAGTTGCATTGTTATTTTTTCTTCTACTAAAAGACTACATTTTCTAAGAAAAACAACTAATGCTTACAAATTGCCTCTGTTTTATTTGTGTATCGCCATGTGGACATTTATTAACCAAGGATTAGTTATAGTACTTGTGCAAGTGACTGCGCCAGACAAAGGCATACAAAGAGGGTGGACACCTGTCCTCCACGATCTAAGTGTACAGTTGTCAAAATTGTCCAGAACCTCCTTTACTTTAAAGAAATATCAGGAGCACTACAAAGGAGATTTATGGAGGATACAGTGGGAGCACAGAGAAAGAAGTAATTGGCTTTAAGTGATGAGAGGGAATGCTTGACATAAAGGTAGTATGCAAGTATACATAACACTGAAAGATGGGTAGTATTTAACCAGACAAACGTTTCAGAGGGGACTATTCCAGGCACAAGCTGAAGCAAAGTCAAAAAAGAGCAGGCCAGCTGCATCCAGGGAACTCCACATAGCCCTGTTGTACCAAAGTGAAGGTGCCCTAAGCAGCCATTTCTTAAGTATCTACCTTGTATCAGACACTTCAACAATGACTTAGAAGAAGAAAGTAAAACACCCCAACACACACAGTCACAGTCACAACACAAAGGGAACATTCCTGGAATGTTCAGAAAGGAATCCAACTTGATTCTTTAGCATTTTGAGCAGGTAATAGAGTGACTAGATTTAAAATTTAGGAAGAACCATCATACCAATTACAATTGGTTCAGAAGAGATGGGGACCATATCAACTAGTGGGGCTGGGCATGGTGGCATATGCCTATAATCCCAGCTACACAGGAGGTAGAGATGGGAAGATCACGGATCCAGGCCAGCTTTGGCAAAAACATTAAGCGAGATCCCATCTCAACAAACAAGTAGCTGTGGTGACATACCCCTGTAATCCTAGTGACACAGAGGTAGAAGTAGGAGGATTATGGTCCAAGGCCGGCTTGGGCAAAAAAGCACAAGACTCTCTCTAAAAGGTAAAACTAAAGCAAAAAGGGATTGGGGATGTGACTCAAGGGGTAGGATATGAGGACCTGAGTTCAAACCCAGGGCCACCAAAAAGGTAACTTACTGAGTTGGTTCAGATGAGGACTAAATTGAAGAGTTGCTAATGTGAATGGAGGTGCGGGATAGAGTGAAGACAGAATTGGTTGGGGTTAGTGACACATATACATAGAACAGAAAGAAAATGAAGTATGGACAAAGGATTAATTTTGATTTTAGACATGTAGAGATTCAAATTTCTCTGGAATAATTAATAGGCAGCCATACACGAGGATCTGGATCTCAGGCTAAAAGTCAGTGCTGGAGCTATTTTGGAAACATGGCATAGATGTGGATTGAGAACAAGAAATAGAGCTGAGAGACATCAACATTTAAGGAGAAGTAGGGCTTCAATGAGCAGTAAAACTGTTGATCCAAAAAAAAAAAAATGCACAGTCCTGGAAGAAGGAAGTTTCAAAGAGAGAGTAGGCAACCAGCAATGTCAAGTACTACAGTTATCAAGGAAGGGGGAAAAAAATGAAGCATCCATTGGCTTTGACAACTGGAAAATATATCTCAGCAAAAGCAGATCCAGGGTGAGGGGGCAGCAAAAGCCAGACCCCAAGGAGAAAGGTAAATGGAAGCTGAGGATGTTGAGACAGTGAGTGAAAACCTTTCTTTGAGGAAGCCTAACTATACAGGAAGGGGGGAGAGAAATTTAAGTGGTAGACTTGGTGCAGGGTCAAGATGGGGTTTGCTTTTGCCTTTAAAAGTATTCTGGAGAGAGGGGGAGATATTAAAAGGACAGGAGAAAGAAGGGATAAAAAAATGTTCTGATCTTTGTCACCTGGTTGTAATAAAATTAAGGGGACAGACAAATATATAAATGGCTAATGCTGTGATTAAAGAAAGGTTTTCAGAAAGATGCTTATTTTGATATAAAAAGCAACCTAGTTTCCTAAAATGTAGGATTAGAAGAGGAGGTCTTAAAAATCTAATCTCCTAGAGAATACTTAAACTTCCCTATCAGGTCCCTGACTGAACTTTACTATCTCCAGTGGTGGGAATTTCCTTCCTCTGAGACCAGCACCTTAGCCACTATGCCTTCAGTCTCCTGGACCATGTAATAGAACGATAGTTCTATCTTACCTTCCTAAAGGATAATATGGGATAGTTTATGAAAGGGTTTGGGAACAGTATAAATTGCTATAGGTAAGAAAATAGTGTTCTTAGAAAGCAGAAGAGTAAATGCCAGAGAAATGTAAATAGGATTGTCAGGCAGTAATTGAGATCAGGCTACATATTTATATTGATGGCTGTCGGCTTGATGTAGTTTTAACCATCTTTAGCTTCTCAGGTGCAAGTTAATAGGACTGGGTAGTTAGACTTATTCAGGATCAGGATATTGTTAAGTATAACAAGAGGGAAGTCAGAGGAGCAAGGCGGTGTTTCAGAGAAGTGATAATGATAAAGAACACTATCAGTATTAACATCTTTATGTTTATGCTAGGATTTTAGCTGTAAAATCACAATGGTTAGTTGCCTTATCTTAGGTTTAGTTCTTTCTGTCATTTCTTTTATGACTTGTTCTCTGTAGGTAGTAGCAAAGCTCATTCTTAACACTATATCTTAAAATATTTACCTAAGACTTTTCATTATCATTGAACATTAAGTTTCTGACTTGTAGCTTTGCCCAAATACCCCAATTTTAAATCTGGAGTGAAGACATAGGCCCTAAAGAGAGAACTGCATATGTGGCACTCTGTACTGGAGGTAGAGCAGAAAGAGGGATTCTTAAATCACTGAAGCATGATTGGCTTATTTTGCTAAACCTTTCATTATGTGGTAGAGAGTTTCAATGTAGATGAGGAAGATTACTTCTGATAATCCCAGGAATATATTATCTGTAATTTTCTGAAGTAGCTATAATTTTAATAATATAATTTGTTTACTTTTAATTTTTAATTTTTATTATATTTTTGATTCATCACACATTAATATGAAAATTTCATGTGATAATTCCTTACATGTGTACAGTATACCTTGAAAAAGTTTACCACCTCTGTTATAATCCTATTTCCTCTCTCCCTTCCCCTTCTTTCAAACAGTGTTTGGTGGGTTTCATTGTGTTGTCTTATATGTAGCATTTTAGTTTATTATTAGTATTAGTCAAAATTGTCTTGAAATAGAACAAGCAGCCCAGAAACAAAGCCTCACATATATGGTCAAGTGATTTTCAACAAGAGCACCCAGCTGGGAAAGGAGTCTTTTTAACAGATGGTACCGAGAAAACTGCATATCCACATGCAAAAGAATGACATTGATCCTTATTTTACACTGTCTACTAAAATTAACCCAAAACTGATCAAAGATCTAAGTACAATAGCTAAACCTATAAAACTCTTGGAAAAAAAAATACAGAACTGCATTTGGTGGTACAGTGTTTGTACTCATGGCCTTGAACTTGGCTAGGCTACCCTCTACCACTTGAGCCACATCCCCAGCCAGAGTAAAACTTCTATGACAGTGGTTTTGGCAGCGGCTTCCTGCATATGACACCAAAAACACAGGCAACAAAAAAATAGATAGGTTTGTACTGCATAAAAATTTAAAACTTTTGTGTGTCACAGGACACTATCAACAGGGTGAAAAGACAACTCACAAAGGTTGAAAATATTTGCAAAGGGAGTAACATCCAGAATATAAAAGAATCCCTAAAACTTAGCAACAACAGTAAAAAGCCAGCTTAAAAATG